CCGGGAAGTGCCGAGGCGAGCCCGCCGCAGAACGAAGGAAGCAGCGGGAGGAAAGCGGCCAAGTTCTTCCTCGTCGTCACGAACGGACTCCTCGTCGTGAGTTTCATCGCGATTCTTCGCGATCGAGCGAGATGACAGAGACGGTGTGGATAGGCGATGGGGGTGGCCAGCTTGGCCCTGGGGATCTGGATCGTCGTTTCTCCGACGAGACTCGAGGGATTCGCTCGCGGTTCCGTTCCGATCGCGGCCGGAGCGATCGTGATCTTCCTCGCTTGCGTCATGCTTTGCGTGGGGGCGGGGGGGCTGGTCGCGGCGGTCGTCGAGAGCAAGTTCACGGTCGTCAAGGTGGGTCCGAGGCGGTTTTCGTCTCCGAATTCCATCGATTCGGTTCTTTCAAGGTTTTCGGTTCAGTATGCGGTTGAGCTGACGGTCTTGTTCGTGCTGATCGTCGTCGGGATGAGCGTGATGACGCTGTTCAAGACCGAGGCGGAAGGGGCGGTGAAGAAGGCTCTCAATTTGACGGTCGAGGGAGCGAGGAACGGGGGGAAGATCAAGGATGCCTGGATCGACTTTCAAGAACGGGTTGGTTCTTTTGCTTGTGGGGAAAAAAAGAAGAGAAAGGCGAGGAAGTTTTCGTCTCTGATCGTTTCTCAGGTGAAATGCTGTGGGGTGGACGGGGACCAGGACTGGATGCCTCTCAAGGAGAACCCGCACATCGCCGAAATCCTGGCTTCTTGCGATGTGAGATCGCATTCCCTTCTGCTTATCGTTAACTCGGATGAACTGGGATGCCTGCAATGCCCATGATGCAATTTGCAGGCGGTGATGAGGGAAGGGTGTTTCGCCAAGATCAGAGGCGAGATTTCGGAACGATCTGGGATCTTCCTTGGAATCTCTGCCGGGGTCGCGCTCGTTCTGGTCTGGTTTTCACGCGTTTACATTCGAGTTCCCCATCGAAAGTCTTCCCAAGCCTTTTTTCGCAATCCGATTCCTAAACACTGAGGGGATTGTTACGATTTTCTGTGATCTCTTCCCCTGCGAAAACAGGGAACGCTACTCAGACGGCACAGTCACCTTGTGTCAACGTTGAGATAAAAAAAAATTGAAACGTTGAGACTTGGTTGAAGTTGAGAATCCGACAAACAATCGACATGAAAGAAATGCTGGCTACTCGTAATGAACATCATTTGAATCCCAACTCTCTTCTCGACTTTAATTCTCAACTTTAACCAAGTCTCAACGATTCAATTTTTTTTATCTCAACGTTGACACGACCTGACAGTGCCGACTGGATACGTTTAATGGCAGAACGTCCTTCGCCTCGCATTCGAATGTCATTCACTCGAGTCTTCCATCCGTCCGCAGCTTCTGACGGCTCTGGTCGCCTGTTACCTTGCGGTCTCCATCAACTGATGCCATCGACCGTTGGGTCTCCTCGCGGATTCAAGTGTCGTCTGCACGAGGAGCGATCTAAACCGATAAATTCCCTGTGTCATCTGGCTGTGTTTTCCGCTTCGAAGTAAGATGGATCTCGTGTGGATTATCGCCGTGAGGAGAAGGGAATAGAGAAACAACACTCGTGCCATGTCGCGTAATTCACTTGAGTCATGAATTTCGGCATTGAGTTTGAATTGTCGACCATAGTGTCGCAAAGGATCATGCTAATGGAACGAAACTCAAACTAAATCGCATGTTCCCAGTGCGTTTCGTCACTCTGATCCGCCGCTGCAGCCTTTTGCACTCCCTGGCATATTTCGATGATGAAGATTGGCTTTGTATTCTAAAAGACATAGGAATCTTCGTAAGCTCACCAGGCGGAGAATTCCATCCTCACTGCATATCGCAGTGCATCAAGCCCGAAATTGCGTCAAGTCCGATCGGAGTTCAAGTCTGCACGTCGGGATCTCTGTATCAGGTTCTTTTCTTTCGTTTTTCGTCCGAGACCTCATTTCTGAGAATGTCGTCATGCCCTCTTGATGTGTAAGAGAATAATTGGTGATTAAGAAAGTCGAAAAAAGTCCACAAGATGATCCGTTTCGAATTTCAACTGCAGGGAGAGCATGACATTCGGTCGAGCAATTTATCGTCCAAATCAGCCGGCTCGAAACCGGCCGGACTTGTTTTAGTTTTATCCTTTCGTTTTCTGCATCTAATTGTTAGCGAGGGAAAAAGACCAGACGGATTGGTGGCAAATCTTGTTGTTTTTCCATGAATGAGTTTTTCCGTGCTAAATACATTAGCGAGAAAGAAGAAGACAAGATGAAGGAAAGAGACTTGCATGAAGTCTACGCCCTGTAAACGTCGACTACACGCTTAAAATCTGTAATGCGACTGCACGATGCGACATAGAAGCCGAACGGACGCATGGATACGGTGGACCCAAGCGACCCAGTCTGGAGTTTGTCCTGCCATGCAAGCAGCTCTGGGGTTCCGTCGATTCGGGCTCACTAAGAAAGACTGTGGCTAGAGATTCAGCTCGTAGTGAAAACCTCAGAAGGGACTCTTTATTCCAAGGACTGTGCCGACACGGCCCCAAAGAGCACGCAAGGCAGCATTTTCATTTGATGTACGTGATCGAAGCGAGTGAAGGCGGGTGGGCGATTGCAGACCAGCGAGTCCCAGCTGCAAGAGAGAGACGAGCGACGACGGCGCTTCCTGGTGGACGGTGCTTCAGGGGAGGAAAAACGACGAAGTCGCGCGTTGGAGGGTGCAATTACGAGGTGCAATTCTTGGCTCTATCTTGGAGGTACTTCATGTCTTGGTTCGAGCCGTACTGCATGAGAACGATCACGTAGGATGCGATGTTCCCGAGTAGCTTGAAAAAGAAAGTCGCAGAGGGCATTTTTACCTAAATCAGCTCTATCATTTCTTTCCAGAGAATATTTAAAAAAAAAATCTAGATCAGATTTTACAGTTTGAATTCTGACTCTTTGCGCCTCGGAAGGTTACAATGAGGTTTTTCATAGTCTTCAATATAACTTTTTTCCCCGCTTTTTCGAGAATTCTCTCGACCGCGTAACAAGCATGGGAAACGTGGAACCATCGATGCACACTGACCGGAGGCAGGATAGCAAGCTGCATCTCGAAGATCCCCCAGACGGAGATCACCGGTTTCAAGTGGAGAAGCTGCATCTGGAATCGGTGCATCTGGCGGGAGGGAAGGACCGAAAATGAGGGATTCCCTCGGCCATTAGGGAATTTCACTAAACAAAATTGAAGACTTTTTCACCTCGCTGCTCTCCTCTGGGTCGTTGCAAGCCGTTTCGGCTGCCGTGACGATTCCTCCCGTCTCCATTCCCTGTGGAATTTACGGAATTAATTATATAATCGATTGCTTATTTCGTCTAATTTTTGCGGTTTTGGAAAAAAAAAAACTGATTTGAAGGTGATGATGAAACCAGTCCGCGTTTTTCTACGTACTATTTAGTTGTGGGATTGGGGAGCCTATATGTCTTTCTCATTTTCGCATCCCTGCGTTTCGTTAGTCTCGGATACCCTCCAAACCGGCTTTCAGTTGAATGGCTGCTCTACACTCTTATCTATAGAAAAAGGGGAGCGATTTTTCTCAAAAAAGAGAGTAAAATAGCTAACTCCAGTTTCACCCCCCCTTTCACTCTGGGTTTCCTCGCTTAAATGAGGTAGTGCAAGAAGTAAAACTGCTCTCCTCCTCTGTGAGTAAAAACGCTCCCCTCAGAAAGTGATAGGGATGTCATGCAAATCAGAAAATTCTCACATATATTGTGTGTCGCTGTCGTCCTCGCATAGGCGTTGACCTACCTCTGACTGTACAGATTAGAGTACACAGCAGAGGTTGGATCACCTTTTATAGGTTCTGTGGAGTATCCGAGATATCAGCCCCTTATTACCTCATTTCATTGAGGTCTGATTGAATGAAGTTCACGAACACTCTGTATATTCTAGGTCTCCTATGCGGATAAAACATATGATTTATAATATAAGTAGCTAAAGGTATGGTGGCCCCCGCTGTCATGTGGTGGACCGACACATGACTCTCGCCCACCATGGTGAGATCCTCCCAACATGCAGGGCTGGCAGAGAGCAAGACCCTCATGAAGCTAATGACTTAGCCCTGAGAAGGTGACTCATGGCTATGGGGGAGAAGTCAACCCGAGAGAGAGCTGCNAAGGGACGATTCCAGGGAAAGAGAGAAGGGAACTTTTGTGTACTGTGCGAAAAGCGAGACCCTTACCGCCATCTAGGGGCCTGGCGAAGAACTTCAAGGTGTTCACTTCAATACGAGCGATGAGGGAGCATCTGGTGAGTAATAAGAGAGTAAATTCGAAAAGCTCACGGTGTGCTCACTTCTTACTCCCCAAACGCTCGGAATTTTGTAAGAGTGTAGTCGGCCTGAGTTCTCTGCTGCCCGATCTGGACGACCGTATGCGCATTCCTGAGATTATACTTTGCAAGTTGATATAATAAAATATTACGATGGCAAATGGGAGTGATTAACGGCATGGGTTCTGAAGACGATGCTCCGGATGAAAAAAGATCCAGCGAGACTCTGCCACGTTTACGCTGGGAGTGTTACTTCAGTGGCTTCCTCGGAAATTTATTTATTTCCACTCTAATATTACAGGGACGGTGAACATTTGGCAGTGCAAATAAACAAATTTCTAAGGTAGCCGCGGAAGGAATATTATATAGGTTAGAAATTGCTATTTCTGGCGGAATATTTATTTTCCCAATGAACGAGGGGGGTATGAATGAAGCAATTAGGCTTTACCAATTGAGTCAGGCTTAAGCGGGTGCTACGAGATGAGAAAGGGTAAAGAAAGGATGAAATGACATAGACATCTGTTATTACCACGTAAGAAAAGATCCAGATGCCAGAAAACCCCCCACCATTCATTGGGTATGGACAGGGCACCTGCCTTCTCTTTGGCGTACGTGCAGACGGCGGTGGAGATGACCAGCTCCAGTGCGTAGAGGATGAGACAAGGAGCGATGGTGATCAGAATCCACAACCCTTTCTGCTTGGTCAGGCACGCCTGGACCGTGTAGATCATGATGATCAAGTTGAAGAACGTGAAGAAACATTTTAACAGCAGGAAACTCCCGTATAAATTGGACACCGTGTGGCTCATTTTGCACAGAGACCCGTGCGTCCGCCTCATCTGATCGAAACGGAAAATACCGGAGAATGTTCGGGGAATGCTTCGATCATTTTGCATTTGAAAAATGGTAAACAGGGACTTACCTTCCCGATGAGATCCTTCTCGGGTTTCGTGCCGGCGTTTTTCGACAGCATCTCCTTGGATTTTTCGTTGAGGCCAGAAAAGACTCGACCGATGCAGAAGACGATAGTGCAGAAAACGCATTCTTCCGAGAGGGTGACGGCCATGAAGAATACCTTACAGAAGATGAGGACCAAAATACCATTTCCGTCGAATAAGATGAACATCCCGTTGAAGTACGCGATGGCGATGAGGCAGATGGTGAAGGAAACGCAAGCGACGAAGAAAAGGAGAAAGGAGAACATGAAGAGATGGACGTCCCGCTTGACCCCATTCAGACATGCCAACTGGATCTGAGACTGGGAATCCCTGATGAGATTCCTGAAGATGGAGAGTTTGAAGAGAAGGATCGTGGGGGAAAAGAGGGCGAGGACGACGACGCCGGTCACCAGCCCGGACACTCCCGCCAGCACCAGGTCGCCTCCCAACTCCTCACTCGCTTTGTTGAAGGGTGAATGGAGGTAGAAAACGTAGGACCAGAGGGCGTAGCTGACGAAGGAGAGGAGGGAGGTGAGGATGTAGACGGGTCTGATGGATAAATCTCCGTGGAGGCGGAGGGGAAGGAATCCCAGGATCCTCCCCATGAGCAAACACGGTTTGCACAATCCGAGAAGCAGGGAGTCTTCGTGCTGGTTTTCTTTGATCGCGCGACGACGCTTTCGGTATTCCTGCATCGTGCCGGTCGGTGGAAGAAACTGAGACACGGCGGAGGAGTCGCTTACAGGATGTATAAAGGCCGTTTCGGCGCAATTTCATTATCGCCTTCATTCGTCTTCGTGGCAGTTCCTGCATAATTACTACATAATTACCTTTGAATTTTGCATCCGTCCTCATGCCTAAACTACTATTTCGCGAAAGTGGAAGGATGCATGCTCTGAATGGAAGGATGAATGCTCGGAATGGTTGTCCTAATTTGGCATCGTCGGGCGGATTTGAATAATTTGCATCTCTCTGCTGTATGTCGTATGTCTTCTTCCCTACATGCCACCGTCGATAGCACTTGCATGGCACTGATCGGGGTTCGTACCGATGCAGCATTTCTAATCGATGGAGGGATGACGAGGGGGAAGGCCAAGTCCCAGGCAGCCCAACTATGGTCCCCCCTCTCTCCCCCCCCCCTCCCCACCCCCAACCCTAATAGCAGCAGATACTGGCTCAATGCTGGACCAACATTGAACGCGTTGACAATATTGCCGATACCGGCTAAATATTGGCTTCCCAATATTGCCATTCCATCATCGACCCGATATCAGACGGACGCGACGGCTCAATGTGCCCAAGTTTCGCTAAGAATTTTTGGGGAATGTGGAAGTTCTCCTCTGTAGATGGAGGAATGGGATGGTAATGCTTACTATGGTTTTTTATCATTATTAATGATTATGGATCGTCATTCGGCTTTGAATAATTTTGGATGGCTTTCAAATGTGTCCTTTATTTCCTCCTTTGATTGCTCGTATGAGGATGAATGAGATGATATGGCGACGGCATGACAAAGTCCTTAAAGGGAGCAGATTTTCCTGATTAGTTTGCTAATATATATAATTAAGAATTTAATATATAATATATAATTAAGACAATTTCTAAATTGGCGCCAGATGGCACCAATGGGAAGAATTCCTTCAGACTTCATGAGGCAAACACGATTAAGCTGGGGGCCGGATGGAACCCTTCGGGGGTGATTGGGGCCCGCACTAACAAATCACACACCAAATTTTTCGTGCCAATTGGTTGAAATCTCGGCGCTTCAAAACAAATAGCGAAGTGGGCTTCGCGGGCCGGACGAAATGGACTTTTGACACTCCTGTCGTAAGGTTTTGAGGGCATCATGATGCAATCTTTATTTATATGCTTGAAGTAGTTAATTTTTCAGCTTTTCGAATGAAAACTGTTTTCAGATTCTTAAAACTCATACGTAATTTTCGCAGGACTTCGTCTTTACCAACTAATTCAGACTTTTAGATCCTTCCACGAACGCGGCGCTGTACGTTTAATAAAAGAAATTACAGGTGGATGGGAAAAGGAAATGAGACAGACGGATAATGAAAAAAAAAAAGGAATCGATTATCGTTCGCCGGAGGATGCAGCATACAGAAATCTCCGCATTAAGTTTTATTTTTTAGGGGGCGAAGGGTGCAGTTGGTGTCGCCAAAAATGTTCATAAAACGTTCACTCTCTGGAAATTCAAGGGGAAACCTTTGCTTAGAGCAGGGGTGTCAAACTCAAATCGGTCTACGGGCCGCATTCCTTATCCTGCAGATGCCTGCGGGCCGCACCCATACTTTTTTCACCGAAATTTCCTCTAACAGTCAATCCAAGCGGAAATTTCAAGAACAGACGGCGGGCCGGATGAACTACCTCCGCGGGCCGTATGTTTGACACCCCTGGCTTAGAGGATACTATCAGTTCTTCGTTTCGGCCCAAGCAGTCGCAGAAACCCGGGAGAAACGCACCTATTCCACCATGACACCACATGGAGCATTTTGCTACGAACGGTAATGGCTCCAGCGGAGGCGGAAGTACAAGCTAGGCAGGCCTTGCGGGTGTGAAATGGTCAGAGGTAAGGAGAGCTACGTTTGATCTGGGATGGTAATGTGGTCGTTTTGTCTCATCTTGGACATGCAGGACACATGCATGTAAAGTAAAGCTATAAAATGCCATATTTAAACATCACAAACTTTATGCGGTAAGTTTGATACTACACATACTAAAGTTTTATTTTTAAAATTTTCCCAACCAACACATGAATTACCTCGTAGCAACACAATGGGTTGCTCTCTGTGTGCAACAGATACTCTTTCACTTAAATATTCTTATAGTCTCCCTAGCTTGGTGAGGCAATTCCTCCAACTTGTTAAGCTCCTCCTTCTTGAAGCTTTTTACCTCATATTAATACAATTACTCTGCCTCTACTGTGGACAGTAGAAACAAAAAGGGAACTTATTGCCGATTGGCCTTTTCACTACTTGTTTATTCTATGAATGATAATTTATGCAGCGTTTCATGATTCATGCCTGCATTCTTCATGTGTATACATTTTTTTAATCTACAGATTACAGCTGAAGAAAGAGGTCCATTGAAAAATACATCAGATAAAAACAATAGCAAAAACTACTAACTGAGGTAGAACTGCTTCCCCTAGAGTAAACTTACTTAACAAAAAACCCTAAAAAGAATTAGTTCACTCTACTGTATGTACGTGGGGCATTCAAAAAGTCTTGGAAGTGAGCATGTACGAAAGGAGTGGTTTGCATCTGGGTTGATTTGTTGATAGTGGCATATGCAAGTGACATTGACTATTGTCTAGAGATAATAACAGTATCTGTATCTATATTGTAGGCTGTGTACTAGTTCAGCAAAAAAGTGTCCGTTTTGACTGTGGCCTAAAAATATGGAATTTAACAAAGATATTGAACGATTCTATGTTTTCACCTGGATGAAACTCAGAGATAGTGCAAGCCAGATTCATGTTGGTCTATAGCAGGGGTGTCAAACATACGGCCCGCGGGCCGGATCCGGCCCGCCGTCTGTTCTTGAAATTTCCGCTTGGATTGACTGTCAGCACAAGTTTCGGTGAAAAAGTATGGGTGCGGCCCGCAAGCATCTGCAGGATAAGGGATTCGGACCGCCGACCGATTTGAGTTTGACACCCCTGCTTTAGAAGGTAAAGCAAATTGAAAGTGGGAGAAAACAGGAATTTCGCAAGACGCCCTTTTTAGAGCCCTGAACTTGTGAATTTTTTTTCTCCGAAACTATTGCAGATATAGAGGTAAATAAGATACCTTTTCCCATCATTTGATCACATATATTTTTTTTTAAAATCCAAGACTATGACCTGATAGGCCCTGCCTGATTTGAAATGGAATCAATCACCCTTCTTAAGCAAAATTTCGGAACTTTTTTTCATTTTGCCCATTTTGCTGCCCACTGGAAAAATGCCCATTTTGGCGATTTTACGATTTTTTCCTGTTTGCAGCCCTCAAAACTGATGCAAATAGCATTTCTGGGGTAATAAAAAAAAATGCAATTTTACTATTGATATATATCCGGTATGACGCATGCTGGTAGCTTCGTTAGTAGTGCGGGGGCTATATTCACTTCCTTTGCGAGCGAGTTATGACTGATATTAAGCGTCTAAACCACTCTGCTGAGAGACGGCAGTCGAGTCACTTTACTCGGTCAAGTTCCAACACGAATCCTAACCCTTCTGTGAAAAAAGGCGGGGTTGAAAATCGATACATCCAGTGCTCTAGTAACGGTTTATGCCACAGGCTCACAGCTCATAGTGAACACCAGTGTGACGAAATCCCGGAATATTTATAACGTTCAGCCCGTCAATCAGTGATTGAGCCATTCAAGACTTTTTGTTCATCAGCCAGTTTGCGTTTTGTGTTCATCAATTTTGGTGCTTTGCTATTTGCCGCCCAGGCGCCCATATAGTCAAAAATCAAGCGACAGAAACCAAGTGGCGCCCAATTGAGAAAACTGGCAGCGAAACGAGCAAAGGCTGCGGCGAGTTCCAAAGATTTTCTGGAAGCTTTTGTGAAAGCAGTTTCCCTGCTTTCACAAAAGCTTCCAGAAAATCTTTTGCACCAGTTTCCGAAATTCGAGATAATGAATATGTTGTTCCAGGAAATTCAAACAAGTTACTAGTCATTCCAGTCACCTAGAAAATGACCCCAATTCACCACAATTACTAGAGCATTCAAGTGATTTGACAACTTCTGACAATGAGCACGATGAACTGCAACAGTTTAGGCCGAATTTGCAGGAAACAGAAGTATGTCAAGAAGGCGGATTATCTGAAAATACGAGCAATGACAGCAGCAAAGTAGCCAGCAAGGAAGAAATCAGCAAACCCCAGCTGCAGAGAAATAAGTGCTTGGCCAATTCGGATGTCTGGTTCTTTTCGAGATCTTATATTAAACTGGCAATATTATATTAAACTTCCTTGCCAGGAACTGACGAACTGCAGAATAGTGATAGTACATTTCTGACAGGTGAAAAAAGTGGACGATCTTTGTCTAAAAATTGGTTTGAAAAAAAAAAAACGCTGCAAAATGGTGAGAAGGCGCAGCGTACTTGGATGTGCTACTCTCCGAAGAAAAAAGCCCTTTTTTGCTTACTGTTGTAGTTTGTTCAATTGCAATAGTCATTCTAGTCAGTAAAGCAGTTTTGATACTGAAAAAGGATTTTCAAAGTGGCAGAAACAAAACCCACGCATCCAGAATCATGAAAAATGCTGAGCGATGTGCAGGGCGCACATCGCTCAGCATTTTTAAAGTGGAAGGAGTTAGAGCGTGGATCGAAAAAGGGGGGTGGGCTTATCGATGACCGCGTTCGGTCGCAAATTGCCAAAGCTGCTCAGAAGTGGAAACAAATTCTTGAGTGTATCACTGCAGCAGTTCAGACGCTTGCCCAGCAGAACTTGGCTTTTCGAGGTCACCGTGAGTCCCTAGACAGTGATGAAAATCCTGTAAATTTTCTGGCATTGATGAAGTTCTTGGCAGAATTTTGATCCATTCAGTTCCGTTTCTGCAAAACCCAATTCTTTCTCATATTTGTCGCTTGCTATAGCAAGCGACAAATATGAGAATGAATGAACTGATCAACACATTGAGAGCAAAAGTGCGCCCGTCCATAATTCTGACAATCCAGAAAGCGAAGCATTTCAGTA